CTGCCTGAGCTTCAGGTCACACTGACCCCTGTGTCAGGGAATTCCTCCTCTTGGATTGCACTTAACATCTCCCCTTTCACAGGAATCGAGGGCGTGTTTGGGAGCCAAACACAGCCTGAAATTTGTTCCATTCAGGCATTCCAAATGCGCCGTTCCCAGCCTGAAATCTGTTCCTTTCGGGGATTGCGAATTCCCAGCGACGACTCCGTGCCAGAGTTTGATCCATTGTTAATAGGTCAGTGGCTGTAAATGGACCTTTCCTGTTGTTTTGACATCTGTCTTCCATTTTTTCCCCTACAGAAAAGGCACAAATGTTTCTTCATTAAAGCCCTGATTGACAGCTTGCTGAAAGGAAACCCACGGCAGCCACTTTCCCTTTCATTCCTCTGCTCAAGCCTCAGGTTCTCGCCGTTATTCCACCCCGACAAGCCGAGCTGCCCTCCCCATTGAGCTAAATCCTCTTTCATCTTTATCCCTCGGCTTCTGCAGCGAGGAGGAGGAGGATGCTGTGATGCTGCTGAGATGCAGCGAGGAACTCTGCTCCAGGATTTAGCTCTGCCCAGAGAGCGCCGGGGATGCTGCGGAAAGGTTGCCAGAGAGGCGGATACCAGCCTGCATCCAGCTTTTTGCTGCATCCCCGCTGCCGAGCGAGATATGGATCATCCCTGGGATTATTCCTGCCTGTCCCTGTGCAGGGAGGGCACTCTGGAGGTGCTGCTGTGCCAGGGAGGTGTCGATGGGCACCGGAGCCAGCGGGCGCTGCGGATTTTTCAGTTCTGGAGCCGACGCTCCCCTCACGGTGAGGTCTCTGTGGCGCAATGGACGAGCGCGCTGGACTTCTAATCCAGAGGTTCCGGGTTCGAGTCCCGGCAGAGATGATCTCCAGGCAGGTGTCTCTTTTATTTTGGTGTCATTTCCCCTCAGAGATGATCTCCAGGCAGGTGTCTCTTTTATTTTGGCGCCATTTCTCCTCAGAGATGATCTCCAGGCAGGTGTCTCTTTTATTTTGGTGTCATTTCCCTCAGAGATGATCTCCAGGCAGGTGTCTCTTTCCTTTTAGAGCCATTTCCCCTCAGAGATGATCTCCAGGCAGGTGTCTCTTTTATTTTGGTGTCATTTCCCCTCAGAGATCATCTCCAGGATCTCCAGGCAGGTGTCTCTTTTATTTTACTGCCATATCCCTCAGATATCATCTCCAGGCAGGTGTCTCTTTTTTTTTAACAGCATTTCCCCTCACAGATGATCTTCAGGATCTCCAGGCAGGTGTCTCTTTTATTTTACTGCCATATCCCTCAGATATCATCTCCAGGCAGGTGTCTCTTCTGTTTTAATGGCATTTCCCCTCACAGATCATCTCCAGGATCTCCAGGCAGGTGTCTCTTTTATTTTGGTGCCATTTCCCCTCAGAGATGATCTCCAGGCAGGTGTCCCTTTTATTTTGGTGCCATTTCCCCTCAGAGATGATCTCCAGGCAGGTGTCTCTTTTATTTTTGTGCCATTTCCCCTCAGAGATGATTCCCAGGATCTCCAGGCAGGTGTCTCTTCTTTTTTAATGGCATTTCCCCTCAGAGATGATCTTCAGGATCTCCAGGCAGGTGTCTCTTTTATTTTGGTGGAATTTTCCTCAGAGATGATCTCCAGGCAGGTGTCTCTTTTATTTTGGTGCCATTTCTCCTCACAGATGATCTCCAGGCAGGTGTCTCTTTTATTTTGGTGTCATTTCCCTCAGACATGATCTCCATGCAGGTGTCTCTTCTTTTTTAGTGCCATTTCTCCTCACAGATCATCTCCAGGATCTCCAGGCA